TCGACCACATCTTCATCTTGCGTCAATTGTTGGAGCGCCGCCATGTTTATTGGCGACCCACCGTTGTCGTGTTTCTTGACATTAAAGGTGCCTTCGACTCAGTCGATCGATATGCCCTTTGGGACTGTCTGCTAAGAAAAGGTGTGCGTGATAAATATGTAAACATTGTGAAAGCGCTGTACGCGTATAGTTCGGGCTGAGTGAAGGTTTATGGCAAACTGTGGCTACCCTTCAATATCACCAGTGGTGTGAGACAAGGTTTCCTGCTTTCACCTTTCCTCTTTAACTTCGCTATGGATGGAGTCATGGAAAGTGTTCGCTAGACACGACCTAGAAGGTGTGGAGCTACTTCTCGATGAGCGACTTCTTGACTTGGAGTACGCAGACGATATTGTCCTAATCTGTGACAGCTTCCAAACATGCCAAGCAGCACTGGACCGATTAGCACTGGTTGTCAATCGTTTTGGGCTATGCTTTGCTCCATTAAGATGCGAAGTACTTCTCCAAGATTGGCAGAGACCCACCCTTGTGCTAAGGCTTTGTGGTGATCAGCTAGAAATCGTTCAGGAATTCAAGTACCTTGGCAGCTATATTAGCACCTGTGGGATTGAAGATGAGGTTACGAACCGTATAGCAAAAGCTCGAGGAGCTTTTGCCAATCTCCGCCACCTGTGGCGCAGATGCGACATCACTCTCGATTTGAAGGACAGCCGTCCCTTCAACTCTCCTATATGGTTGTGAAACCTGCCCCATCACGTGGACAGACATTAAGAGGCTCGTCACCTTCGATCATTGCTGCCTTCGCAGTTTAGTTCATGTCTGGTGGGAGCACCGCGTGAGCAATGAGCGTTTTCGGCGTCGCGTGTTTGGGGCAGGAAGAGCGAGAGAACCGCTTAGCACCATTGTATCACGCACCAGGCTCCGATGGTTGGGCCACGTGTTGCGCATGTCAGCACAGAGACTTCCGCGACGTGCATGGTTTGCGCGTTGTGGGTGCGGTTGGAAGAGGAGGAGGGGAGGCCAAGCGATGACTTGGTCGAGAGGGACGAAAACCCTCACTTCGAAGTTGGCGTCGGTTGGTGCATCCCGACTGCCTGGCTGGGGTCCTAAGGACGATGAACACGTTTGGTTGGACACACTTGCTGATATGACATGGAGCCGGCCCCAATGGCGTTTGCGTTGTGAGTTAATTTGTACATCCCATCCCGCTTAGCCTATCCCTCCAACCAAGCTCTCATTTACTAAGTATCATGTAACTTTTTTGCGGCACAATAGTCGGCTGGCTGTTAGTTCTCCGGAGTGATGTCCATCCGTTACTGGGGACTCAGCCGGAGTGCCACTGTTTGTTTTCCTTTTCTTGTCTTTTGTGTTGCGGCACAATAGCTGAGGTGTTTTCCACCTGCAGCTAATGTGTATAATGCTGCTGCTGCTGGTGGTGATGATGATGATACGCGCGACTGGTCTACCAAGTTTTCTTGTCAGCACGCAGGCTGCGCTTTAGTTCTCACCTACTGGTTCATCTGGTTGCATTGTGCTCAGAGGCACCCGGGATTTTTATTCTGGATTCCGACCGGTTCATCGATCTCTCGGTTATCCAGTGACTGATGCGGTGACGATTGATAATGCCACAGGCATATGCTCCTGTGTCGTGCATGGCGGCCGAGATCCTATTCCACTGAAGCTCAGTGTCGTTGAGACAAGGGAGCGAAAGTTCGGTATGCAGTGCGTCTTGAAAGGCTTGCGTGACCGAGTACAGACAATTTCTCAGCTTCCTATCGGGGAAGACGCTTAGTGCGCCTCCCGGTGAAATTCACGGAAAAAGTGACGGCGTACTAAGGCATGACCAGAGTCGATGCAAGTACTCCAGAACGAGCGGTATTCCAAGATGGAACCACGCCAACTGTAACTTATGGCAGTGTGATCAATTTGGGTCCTTTGCTGGCCCGTAGCCTAAAGGTAACAGGTTTGTATTGTAATCTGACGGCGCAGATTCGGGCGTGCTTAGGGGCAGGACGACCCTCGCAGTATCCTTAGCCTACGTGCGATCGGTGGTGGTTGCGCAGCATCGAAGCGTCGGTACTGCGTATCGGCCTACTGCTGATTCCTTTATTCTTTTTCCATCGTTGTCCAGCTACTGGAGGATGCCAAATAGCATTTCGGTGCCCGCTGTGTTTAAAAGCGGTGCTACCAAGAAAAGCTGGTGCTCCGCGCACAGTTGCAACAGACGCTCGCCATTGTCAGTCCGTGCAGAGTTAAGCGCATAATTACCACCTACCTGAGCTTCTGAAGAGCCCGGACGACCTACTTGCGCATTCATGTCGCCTGCAGAAATTTGATATCTGACCTGGTAGCATTGCGTAGTAGCGTGTTCAATTCGTATTAGGTGTCTTTGGCGGCATCATAGCTGCAGTCGGTGGGGGAATATGCTGAAACCACAAGCAAACATCGTCTTGTACTACTTCGTGAATCGACCCTAGTTGATGTCGTCAAGCGGCTGTTCACGGGAATCCAATCAGTCAACGACGACAGCCTGAGAACGATGCCCACACCAGCTTGATCAGTGGTTGCAGCATCAGCGTCTCCGGATGCGTGCAATCAATAGCGAGAGAACAAACCGGGCACGGTTAATTCAATGACCCCGTGAGGGTCATTGATCCTAGTTTCGGATACGCAACACGAGTCAACACCCATTGTGTCCAATGTGCGTGCGAGTGCATCCTGTTGTACTATTTGTCTTAGAGTGCGAACGTTGCACGCCGCCAGGGAAATAGCACAGTGTGGCCTTTCACGGATCTGTTGGTGATTGGTGTCCGGTGCATGGTGTTGGAAGGTAGCTGCAGATGGAGTGACTCCCGTGACATTGAGGCTGCTGTTAATTAAGCTGGGAATTATCGTAGAAGAGTTAGTACTGGGATTTTGAAGAGTAAGAGAGCCAAGTAGAAAAGAAAGAACTGTGACACCAACAGTATCATGTTTTCGCTTATCCGCACTGCTGTATGCATCAGATGTGGCGACCCTTGTGGATCCGTGTAACGGCCGACGCAGGATGTGGTTAAAGTTTGATGATATAGTCCTGGTTGTATGCCGGCCGGTGGCCGAGGAGTCTGCCCGCCTGATTTGCATCCATAAGCTCACCGGTTCAAATCCACGTAGGGATGGACGTCCTTGCGGTATACTCAGCCCGCGCGCGACTTGTGCTGGTCTCTCTGCAGCGAAGCGCCGTTACGGCGCACAGCTGACAGATTATTTATTTTTTATTCTTCGTTGTACGTAGGCTGATATACTGCCAGGGCGCTCATACCTGGACAGGAGAACGATTAGTGTCCTCAACCAAAGCCTTTGGCTCAAAAGCCTGTCCTCATGGCAGCGGATGTGGCAATGATTTAGTTTTACAGAAGTGAACGCCATTCCATTTTCCGCCGGCAACCTGGAAGATCAGGAGACTGAGTTTGTCTGATCTCTAATCATTGACCAACCTTGTAGGAGTAGTTCTGAAGGGGCCAGAGGGCACGGCCCAGTATAGCGCTATAGGTCAAATAGGTACGCAAACCGTCGCACCACGTTAAGGTGCGGTGTTGTTGCGACGGCCGATGTACAGTGAGACCACCAGGCTTCGCGGTCTCCTTTCAAGCTCGCACGCAGTTTCGCCCTGAAGGCTTTGCGAATCTCATTGTGTTCGTTCCCAGCGGGAATGTATCGGCGAGCATCTAGTAGTTCCAGAGACTGCATAGAGACCGAATGTCCAGGTTGACAGGTTGATTTACCACATAAAGACATGTCTGCTGCCAATATGGTTCGGTGAATATGCGGCCAATGGCCCTCCACTGTGTTCAGAGCGCGCTTACTCAGGTCGGATGCCAGCGTACTTTGATACGCATTTAGAACATCTGGCTTCACCAGCCGGCAAAATTCTATGCGCTCACAGCATCGCCGCATGCGTCCACCGAAGCGAACTGTATGATCGGCACAAACGAGCGCGTGGTCAGGGTCCACCCTCATGCTCCAGATCGAGTGACAGTTTTGGATACAGCCTGTTCACCGGTAATTGATCCCGATATGATCGATTTGCTTCCATGGCTGGTGGGCGCCATGTCACCCTCCGACGGGTGCTGTGTTCAAAGCTAGTGCTCGCGAGAAATAGACTAGCATTTTCATACAGGTGTAGCAACCACTCCTCGTTATCATTACGGCAACTTACACCGTGTTGGCCACTCAAATACAACTCACCGGTGGGCAATTTTTCAACTTGGGCGCTCAGATTACCTGTTAAGCGCTGCACATATGCATCGTTTGCGCCGATCTTATCTACCCTTCATTAGAAAGTTACTTGCGCATCATCACATTTGTTTGCCTTTAATCACGCTCTCATTTTTCTTTTCCTGCATCCTATCCGTACCGCACTCGATAGATGGGTATCATCAGGGCTCTCAGGATTTAGACAGGCTGCTAGGTTTACAAAATAACGCTCAAGGTATTAACTCACCCTGTCTACCGAATCCAGCCGTCTTTCTTCTCTGTTTTCAACTCAGTTTTGTGCCGTTATATCCAGATTCTCAGAACATCTCAATCTTTTTGTCCGGCCCGTGGCATTAACGGTCACAAGCGGGTTCATGCCTGCGTAGGGGACCGGGCGACCCTTGCAGTATCCTTAGCCCACGCGCGACTAGTGGTGCTTGCGCGGTAGCGAAGTGTCGGTACTGCGTACCGGCGTACTGCTAATGCCTTTTACCTCAGAGTTATCATTGTTTTAGTCCAGGAATTTCATCGTAATTCTCATTACTAAATCATTGGATTTAGCATTGCTGTTTTGCTTTCGTTTGTATTGAATGTGTTTGGTAAACGCTCCTAGTGCTCATAGTCCGCACTGGTTAGCGCTCCATACCCGATTTTGCGCTTATTTTCTGGACGGGCTTCCTAGAAAATCTCACGCGATTAGTATCCTGCCCGCGGCTTTCCTCTTATTACTTCGGGTATTTGATTTCTTTCCTGTCCCGTCACAGCACTCGGTTCTTTCGCAGCATCGAATTTCTCACTCGGCGTCAAAATACATATGCCCCATGTGTAACCGACCTTTTGCTCGGGATGATAAGCTCAAACGTCACATTCGGTGTGTCCATAGCTCCGAGCGACCTTTCAAATGTGAGGTATGCTCCAAAGCCTTTGCTCGAAAGTAAGTGCTACTGATTCACTCATGCTATTGTCCCTCATGTCATATTTCGGGCGTTTGGTTTTTGTATCCATTTTTCTAGTGGCACTGACACGTATTCAGTCATAGATGAAAATATTAGGCTAATATTACCTCTGATCCTTGCTGGGCTTCGCAACCTTCACATAGTTGTCGGTGTGGCTGGCTACCCGACATACTGATGGCCACTGGCTCCCTCTCCACGATTCAACCTATGGCTTGGCTGCAATCCCACAGGTCCGTTAAGTTTATATTCGATACGGCAGTTTGCTGTTTGTCGACTATGCTTGAGTGCACTAGAATGCACGCATTAACGGCCGTTTGGCCCACACTACCGTTGTGAGCTATTTTGCACGCTCACATTTCAAGGGGGCATTGTTTCATTGACTCTTGACGCTGCGTTATCAGTATATGTACTTATTGCTCTTCTCCAGTATCCTTTACTGTTTTTTCTTTTTCTGTTCACGTCTGCATGCCAATACTTGGTTTAACTTACGATGGGTTCTCTATTTTGTGTTTGACTTTTGCATCCATACTTTCGCACTGTGTTGTACACTGTGGGATTGTTACTACGGATGTTAGCACTTAGAATGACCTTTTTAACTTGGCCGCTACAACTATTTTGTGTTGCGAGGGTTTCTTTCTTCACTGCAAGGTCGACACTGTTAGGTAGCTTCATATCCCTTCACTTGCTTCATTGATTAGCCACATTCTGCATCTAAGCATCAAATCGTCAGACTAACTTTGTATACGCTTATCTCCGAGAGTGAAATTTATCAAGACGCATATTTGCATGCTAACCTGGAAAATTTCACATGGAAATGTCCATTTTTCTCCACGTGTGGCAATTGTTTTTGACCGGATTGCACCTCATCGGATGCAGAGGTTCAGTAGTAGCTCACTAGTAAATAAATAAATCTTTTATTCTCAATAAGGTGAGGCACGCCTTTACAGGCATGATCATTTTGACATAACGATGCATAATCAAGAATGTGCAAAAATCCGATATGTTTGCCATGGTGCTAGACTATATTTTCGGATGTTTGTAGGATAGCCTATGCATCATCATAGACTTGTCCTCCACTTATAGTCCTATTAGTTCTGCATTACGAAATATGAAGTGTGCAGAGTGATTGGGATGCACTGGGCCAATCAACCCCGACAGACCACATTGTTATCATAGTGTATGATGAAGGATAACTTTCTAGAAGTCCATCCCGTAGTTTTTCTCAACTCTCTTTTCGATTCAGCTTTACTGATCGTGATAGCTCAGTGAACGTTGCGGTCTGATTATCCTTAAATTGCTGAAGACAGTGGTATGACATTGCATCGGCACCGTACTCGTACCACTATGCACCGACGCTCCGCGAGCGCGCTGAGTGATACTGCATAGCGCCAACCCCTTCCCCCTCTCTACCACGCAGCAACGTGGACTCGAAACTGGCACGTGTGAGTCAAACGACGGATCCCCCAACCAAACGCACTGAACAATCCGCTATGAGCTGGCAATCCATACTCTAGAGGTAGTTTGAATTTATGGGCAAAACTCGGCAGTTCACTATTTGTGACAATCGTTTGACCTCTCTCGATACCTGTTCTCTTCGGCTAATGAGTTTACGGTGAGCGCATCGAACATAAAAGACGGGCGCGAAGACTCCCAGTTCATTGCTTAACATCGTGTTCGCATGATACGTATGCACCAATTTCGATTTCACTACGAAAAAAGAGTTATTTACAACGCTGTTTACCCGAGCGGTTAACTTGTGCAAAAGGTTAAATGGTTCACTAAGGTTTGACATGTCTTTGTTTTATTTCCCCTTCTTATCTCACCAGAGTAGGTCAGCAGGGTTAGCTGGGTTGAACTGTCATGCGTTGACTCCACCGCACGCTTTAGTGGCTATCCAAAAGAACTTACCTCAAGTCATGGCGGTATGGTGCTCACCCAAGGGTGGAGCAGGCGACTAAAGGTTCCGCTACTGAACAAGTCGAGCTGTGTAGACCTTCTCACACATCTCCGATATGTGATACGCATCAAACCATCCGTTTGTCGAGCCAATTTCACTCGAATCTAATGGACCCCAAAGTTCTCGCCCCACGAATTCCAGTGGTTGATTGCTTGGTGTAGTGGAAGTTCATCGACCAGACTGAGAGAACGGATTTGGGACCACATTAGCTGTAGCTTCGCTTTTGACAGTCTAAAACCGTTCACTGTTTGAATCGCCCAACGGTTCACTTTCGGACTTTCCAGTGCCTATTGTGTTCGTTGGGATTGCGACACACGATCTCTGTTGAGTGCCCAGTTTACCTTGGAGTGGACTTCAGTCACTTCAATCGCTAGGACTTTATCCCTGACCTACCCGATATAATTATGAAGTTCATTGTTGTAATAAAATTATACACTGATGCGGCCTCGACTTTGAGCACGATAGACTTATCAACATTCATGAGCAGAAAATACCTAGGCAATATTTGGTCACTGACAAGACTTCTCGTCTCAGGTGTGTCATGATGAATGCTTTTGGCGCCTGCTGTACACCCAACTTGAGACATTTGAACTGTGGATAGCTTTCGGAGGCATCGACTAGTTTGATTGAGGCGCCGAAACAGATTCCTATGACTACTGAGTTTCACCGCGCCCGTAACACACTGAAGCGACGGCTGACAAGGAGTCTTCGAGTTGATCGGGAACGATGGTTTGGTGGCAAGGGCTCGTGCGATGGAGAAAGCCAGTGCTATCAGAAACAAGCGAGTGCTACTCCAGCTCATCCGTAACGCGGGTCCAAGAGAGCCCTCAGTCAGCGGCTGAGGAAGATGGACGGTTGATTCATTATCAACCTCGACCACTAGCCCGTTGAGTAGAACATTTTGAAAGGCATTTCAGCAGGCCTTTTGCGACATTGTCACTTGTTAGTTCACCTGAACCGACGTGAGATGTTGACTTCGCACCTCCCACTTTGGAAGATATTCGACTTGAGTTCGCTGTGTTAAAACGAAACCTTGCTCTTGGGTCCAACGACCTTCCTCCAATTTGCTGAAAGACGTTACTCTCTGTTGCTGAACTTGCTGCTTTATTCAACACGATTTGGACACCGAAGAGGTGCCTTCAGACTGGCCACTGCCAACTGTCGTGCCCATCTTCAAGAAAGGTCAGTGCACTTTGTGGAAGGAAGTCATCAGTAGTATGCCGGCACACAGTACCGACGCTTCGCTGCCACGCGACCACTACCGGTCGTGCGTGGGCTGAGTACACCGCGACGACGCGCGCCTCTACGCAGTTACGAACCGGTGACCTAAGAACTGCTAGTCAGGCATGTAATCCTTTCAGCCAACGACCGACGCGCTTTGTGCGAAGATCATCAAGCCATTAGCCTAGTTTCCATTGTCTCCAAATTTCTCACGGATGCCATTCTTCGATAATCTAATGCTCCTCTTGAGGACCAAATCACTGAAATGCAGAATGGCTTTCGCCCTAGTCGTCGTAGTATCGACCACTTATTTTTCTCCAAGTTTTAGTACAGAGACACACAGACGACCAACCATAATAGTTTTCATTGGTTTGAAAGTCGCCTTCGGCTCTGCTGATCGCCCCAGCTTCTGGCACTGTTTATGCGTGAGAGGCGTACCAGCTAAACTTCTTTCCATTCTGAAGTCTCTCTACCGTGACGCCTGAAACCGGGTAAGCATCTTCAGAAAGCTATCTCCTGGGTTCCCCACAACAAGCAGGCTTCATCATCGTTGTCCTAAATCTTTTCAACTGTGATTGAACTGATCATGAATGACTCCGTTTCTTCAGGCTCTTCCAGAGTGGAAGTTCTACCAGGTGGCCGACTGATGCGGATGACGTAACTCTCCTTGGGTTTGATATGGTGGCTGTGTAGGCACCATTGAACAGACTGGTGCTTAGCGATGCATGCCTTGGTGTGTTTTGCACCTTTAAAGTGCAAGGTGTTTTTGCATGACTGAGCCAATGTGCCAGAGGTTTTAGTTATCAATGAAAGTGGTAGATCGGTGTAACTTTATCTCGGTAAATGTGTCACCTCTGGTGGTCGCATCACTGACGAGGTTACTTCGTATATCAGCAGGGCTCACGTGGCTTTCCAGAGGCTCGACCATCCATGGCGGCGGTGGGATGTCGGGCTAGGGCGTACGACGCTGCGATAAGGCCGGTGTCACTATATGCAGCAGCGATTTGGCCAGTTCGCAGTGAAGACATTACACCTGCGGCCGCGTTTGACCACCGGAGCTTGCGGAGTAATGTTTACATCTGGTGGGAACACCGGGTAAGCAATGCTGTGATCCACCAGTTGAATTTCGGCAAGAAGCCTTCTGGTGCTTCACTGCTGTGTTTGCTACAGGTCAGCCGCTCAGGTTGGCTAGGTCATGTTCACCGTGCGCGCGTTGACCGACTTCCTCGGTGTGCACTATGCGCCGTAGCTGTACCAAGTTGGGCAGAACTGCGAGGTGGCTAGTCGATGACGTGCCATGAAAGCATGAAGAAATTGATTGAAAGACTTGGTCGGTTTACATGTTGGTTTACATCCGTGCTTTTAGTTACTCTATCAGACAGGATGCAATTGCACGCTGGCTTTTCTGCACTCGGTTTCTTGCATCTAGCTGTTAATCTTAATTTCATCCCCATCAGTTTTGCACCTTACTCTCCTAATTACATGTTCTTTTTATTCTGTTTGCATCCAACCTCACCTTGTTACCATTATTTGTAGTTGTTCTGGCGACGTGAGTCCTGGCAACTGGATCCACTGTACCTCGGTACCCAGATCATAGTTATTTGACCGAACGTATAAACAGATCCGTCTTGTTTGTTACATAAATGCTTTTGTTTTAACTACCTAGAGTAAGCAGCCTATTGTTTGCTTGGAAAGTGAGACGTTTTTGATCTCTAACTGGTCAACCTGCAACCGTGAGAGGACCTCAGCTAATTAACCATCCTCTACATGTTGCACACTGATGCTTGCTTATTATCACCGAGTATTTTTTTCCTGCGACATATACTGTCCACTACCACAACATCCCCTCCGCAGAGACAAGCTTCAGGAGCATGCACGTCACCACAACCGCGACATCACGTTTACCTGTTCCATTTGCTCGGAAGTGTTCGTCATGCGCTCCCACTTGAACCGGCATTTACGCGGTGTACACAAAATGAAATTGTCCACTTTTAACTCCCGGACCGAGAGCACCATTACAAACGCAAAAGCCAGCCTCCCGTGTAACAAAAGTGCTTTTACCCCAGTCAACAATGGGCTCCAGGCCGTGGACTCGCTTTCTGCTCACATGTTGATGAATCCTGCCACTGTACTCACTCCGATAACCACAAACGTTACAAGTACGTTCACTTTGGATTTTCATTATGTAGTTTGAACACTCGGCTGACTTGTTTTTTGGTACGCCTTCTCTCGTCTGTGCACTTAACAACTTGTGTTATCGAGGCTTGATGACGCAGCGTTTCCCCTCCTACCGAGTCAGATTGTTGTTACACGGATTTTCAATCTTTCGTTGTGACGTTGAAATTGATCCACAACAATTATTGGAAAATAACTGATGGACGGGTCTCCTCAAAACACCTAATTTTGCTGTTTGTGTGACAGATGGGTATCATAATTCCAGCAGCGACAGCTTCGATGTATTGGGCGTTGGTATCTTTCTTACCTGAAGGTTCAAAGGCCAGCGTTACTGTATAGATCACATACCTGGCCATTTCGCGGTGAAGGTATTGAACGCTTAGCCGTGTTTGACCGCCGGTGCTTGAGGAATATTGCTCATGTCCGGCGGGAACACTGGGTGAGCGATGCTGAGGTCCACCAGTAGGTTTTTGGCGAGAAATCTTCTGTTGTCTCACTCGAGTGTCTGTTGAATATTGACCGCTTACCTTGTCTAGGCCACTTCCTTCGTATACCCATTGACTGGTTTCTTCGGCGTGCATTATACACCGTAGCTGCATCAAGTTTGACGAAATTACGAGGTGGTCAGTCGATGACGTGACACAAAGGAATGAAGAGATTGATTGCTAGACTTGGTCAAGTTGGTGTGTGCCGTCTTCGTTAATGGGGGCCCCGGGATAGTGCATACCAATGGTTGGAAACCCTTTCAGATGTGGTGCATTCACGCAGTCAGTGGTGTTCCTGTACATTCCACTTCTTGTTTCTTATCATTAATTTGTGTTTCATCTTCATTTGTTTAATGCACTTCCTTGATTCCATTGCACTACACTACCCGGATCATAGTTGTTTAACTGATCTGAATTGAACCTGAAGGTTCACTTTGATTTTTTTGATCGCACCGGTTGCTATAAATACCTATATTACGGCAGTTGCAGATTAGTTCCCTACGTTTATGGAATCTACAGCGGGATTCTTAAAGTCGAACGCGAATTTATTAAGCTTTTCCTTCTTAGTTTTCCATTTCTGATACGGTCAGTCAGAGTGGCTTTGTTCTTTTATTATACTTGATGGTCAAAATACTCACGAACGACCTTGTTCAGTTCACTCCCTCTATGATTTTGCAATCGTGATTATCCTGAATGACTGTATGCTGCCTTCTTCCACTTCTTCTGGGACCGATGTCCTGTTCGTTGACAGACTGTCAGTTTCTACTTAAACGCTACTGACTAAGCTGACACGTAGTTCTGCACATTCCGGCATGTTCGTTGCACCTTCAGAGTGCAAGGTCTTGTCACGGGACTGGGGCGATACATCACCAATTCGCAAACTTATAACACAGCCTTTAGAAGTTGTTTATCAGTTTACTTATTAATCAGCTATGCCACATTTGGTGTCCGCATCTCCAGTGAAGCTGTCGCACACCTTGCTAAAGCTCATATAGCTTTTAGTGCCTTAATCATTTTTGGGGTTGGTGAGTTTTAAGCTTTTTGATCAAGGAAAGGGTTCACAACGCTGCTGTATGGCCAGTGTTGCTCTGCGCATGAGACTTGGTCGCTGCGAGTTGCGGACATTAAGAGCATCATCTCGCATGATCACCGATGCCTGCGCAATATTGCTGATGTTTGTTGGAAGAATCATATCTCTACTACTACATTTCCTCATCTGGTACTTGGTGTTCGGCCCTCTGAGGTGTCTCATTGCAGTGCTTGTTGGAGTCGAATCGTCTCTGACGGTTCTGTCATGTGCTCCATATGCCAATGGGCGGTTATGGGTTGTCTCTCATTACTGCACCTAGATAGACTGGGCATGAAAGAGCCTACCGAAACGCCGAATCCACTTGTTTTTGTTGTTCTCCCGGACCGGATCCTCAGAAACGGCCAACTCAATGATTTTATTACCGTACTCACTTATAGAAGCGGTGGAATGTCAGCTTATTGCTCATGTACCTGGTGTACGATGCTACAGTATAGTCACGGTGATTATATTGATGGAAAACGTATCCACATGGCGTTGTGCCCATCCAGCCACTCGTCAACTTTTATCACTTCGAAGCGTTTGACTAAGAAATCACAGTCACCGGTTCGAGCCTATGCAAGAACGTATTTGTTCAACTCTTACGCTGCCCATGACGTTTATGTGGCTGCAAACTTTGCGTGTCAGGCTTTGGTCCAGAGGAATGAAGGCCCTCACTTCGGAGCTGGCCTCAGTTGGAGCGTCACGGCTCCCTGGTTAGGGTCCAAAAGACGGTGAACACGTTTGGCTGGATACACTTGCTGATATGGCAAGCAGCCGACCTCAGTGGTGTTCCTGCTGTGAGTTTCTTTGTCCCCCCCATCCATTTTAGCCTCCCCCCACCTACGATCTCGTTTCGTAGCGTAAAACATAATAATTTTTCTTTTTGCTTAGTAGCCGGCTGGTAGCCTATCGGAACGATGTCTATCCGTCGCTTTCACTGTCTCATCCATGTCCCCCGAATGCTTTTTCATTGCTTGACTTTTTTTTACCAGCCTTCCACCTGCTGAGTGAGACCCGAGATGGGTTACTCGACGGCGTATCCGGGGAGTATGCAGACACTGGTGAAAAATATTGACTCGGATTGATAAGTATCGCCGTCCTGGTTCACCATGGCATTCCTGTGCTCCTTCCGGGATGACACTTTCCAGTAATCGGTCCTCCGCTTCTCATACTCATTTTATCCGACGCGTTTGAAATACTAATTGACAGTACGCAGTTGCGACGCACAGACACTAACGTCGTGGCTACGCGACCACCATCAGACGAATGTGGGCTGGGGGTACTGCAAAATCGCCCAGAAACATGCGCAGATTCCAATCTGTGACCTTTAGGTTACAAAGCGGACACCTTGTCCCTTCGGCCCCTCCTCCCCGAGTTTTCACTCATCTCATCATCCACTACACTCATTTAATCTCGTTGTTATAGCCAAGCAATTGAAGGCAGTTGTGTTCACCGAACACATATACTTGGATCATAGCTGGTCAACTAAACCGGCCTGAGCTTGTGTCCACTCGTTTCCAACGCCTTTCTTGTTTCCGACTATTCCGAGTTGGCACTCACCGATTTGCTCCCGATGTTCTCGCTTCACACAACTGCGCTTACCCCCGGGGATCCGCTTCAGATGACTCGTACTGTCTGAAGATCAAGTTTTCTTAAAGCGAGGGCTCTGGCTCTGCTTTGAGCTCCGATGGTTTCTTTCTGTGACCACCTGCTATTTTCTGGCTTACGGAGTTATGCTTCAACACCAGTGAACGTAGTTTTCACGTAGTTGCTGTTATAGATTCAGGCCATAATAAATAATAATAATGTGTCAGCTGTACGCCGTAACTGGGTAACTCATCTTCAATATGTTAGTGGAAATGGCAATAACGTATCACTTAAAGAACAGCAGAGTTTTCCTCAGGTGCGAAAAGCGATAGCTTCGTCCGTTAAAATATTCAATCAACAGGAAACCGAGAATAGTTTGTGTCACGTACACAATTGAGTATGGATTCGTAAACACAGGCCCCCACATGCTTGGTTGAGAATGACCTTGCGTTGTTTATTTCATTGGTTTTCCTTTCCGGCTTTTCTAGCCACATGCAAGATGGTTTTAGTAAACCGATTCCATACAACGCGTGCGCCTGCTGTTCCGTTCATTGGCTAATGGCCATACTTAACATTCTGGCGACGAGGTTAAACTACTGCGATGTTGCACCTTCCTACACTACTTTGGAATATTCCTTCTGATAAACCAACACCGGCCACTTAGAACCGCTCGAAGCGCACCTTTTTGGATTACTTGGAGCTACTACCCGTCTTGCAACCAAACACGGTACTCTCAGAGAGCCACAAAATTAAATTAGTGGGACAATTTCTGGGGGATGAAGTCCGAAGACATTTTGATGCCTTCCATGTCGGTGAGAAGGAGACAGTCAACAGCGCGCTAGAAGTCCTCAGCGGGTTATGGGGTTCACGACTGAACACATACACTGCGCGGTATTCTTTCTCGACCTTGCGTCAAAACCCTGAAGAAAGTGTCATTGATTTCATTGCACGGATTCAGTAAGCCCTATCAGAGTGTCGGTATATTGAAATCCCAGTTACGAAGTTCGAAGAGACGATGGCTTTACAGTGCTTAATATCCGGTATCCGTTATGAACAGGCTCGTAAAAGGTTGTTGTCAGAAGATGAGACGACGATGAGCTGGGAGAAGACCTGCAATACTGTTCGACAGCTGGATACTGTCCATAAACAGTTAGCAACTTTTTCCTCGCAACCTCATACAAACACAACCCAAGCAGTCAACGGAAAAGATGTTACCCCTAGACGATCCGAATTGCTTTTTACTTGTTACCGATGTGGAAGTCAGTATTTATCAGCCCAGGAATGTCGTCATAAACAGAGTATCTACTGCCAGTGTGGAAAATTATGGCACTTGGCTCGAATTTGCCGATTTAAAGCTTGCACAGTCGCGACATCCCGTTTTCCGAAAAAGCCCGTGAAGGTCCTCCAGTCGTTAGACGAAGAAGACCAGCTAACCACGATCTGGAACGAACCGTCGAGCATCTGCAGCATTCATCCACCCTACACTGCAATTGGAAGTAGAAGGCCAGTTGGTTAAAATGGAAGTTGATACCGGTGCCTCAGTTACCATAATCAGTGCTGCATCAGTTAAAAGATTACCCAAGTTATCCCCCCTGTGAATCCACTTTGCGTACGTACACTGGGCAGCTGATACCAGTCTTGGGAAAATGCGCTGTCCATGGGGGCCTTACAGGCATATGTTGTGGCGAATGATAGTCCGAACTTACTCCGGCGCGGCTGGATTAAATGCCTTCCGGCCACTCTAGAGATAGTGAAGTTCATGTCCATTAACCAGCGCTTAGACGATGTGCTCAACAAATATTCTGACGTTTTTGATGAGAAACTAGGAAAATTGCACAGAGAT